TAAGCAGTCGTATGCTCAAATCATCAGCAAAAATTATGCCCCTGACATGTGAATCCTCCAAGTTATCACAAAACTCTCTCTCTCTCTCTCTCTCTCTCTCATGTGGTAGTTGTGTCTTTGCTCTTTATCTCTGGATGTATTTTTGTTTTTTTCATTTGATCGGCACATCGTCCCTCTTCTTCTTCTTCTTCTTCTTCTTCTTCTGCTGGTGGTGCTGCTGCTGCTGCTGGTGGTGGTACTTGCGTCCGGCTCTGCTTGGGCAAAGCCGCGCTCTTGCTCTTCCGTTGGGAAGTAGAGCACGGCTCCTTGGACATTGCCCATTGCTTCGACATCATCAACGCCAGGATGACGGACGACCGCAAACCGCTGCTGAGCGTGAATCAGCAAGATGGCCATGCCAATGTGGACATTGAGTATCGCGAGGGCTCGTCGAGCCAGGGGCATGGCCATGGTCATGGAAACAGCTGGGTTGCCTCCAGCTCCATCATTGTGGCTCAGATGCTTGGCGCAGGCGTGCTCGGCCTGCCTTATGCCGCCAGCCAAATGGGCTGGATCGGCGCCATTATTATCCTATGCGTCATCACCGCCTTTAGCATGTACGCTGTCGTTACGTCATCGCCGCAAAAAAAAAAAAAAACATTAGCCCGCCCTCACCCGCTGTCCCACCCACGCTGCCTTGCCACGCCCACACAGTTACGGTGGTCTTCTTTTGGGCAAGCTGCGTGGCAAGAACCTGGACATTGTTTCTTGTACGCATCGTTTTTGGTGACCCTTCTTGCCTTAATCATCATCATCAGCTGGGTGGTCCCCGCATACCCTCGATTTCCATCTGCTTCTTTTCTCGCATCTGCACCTCATCCGCTCTCAATGATGTGCACAGATGCCCAATTGGCCGAGTACGTCTCCGACTATGCGGGCCACGGCAAGCTGTGGCGCACCTTCGTCTCGGTTAGTTTACCTTCCACTCGATCGCACCCCAGCACAACCTTTCCTCATGCTGGCCCACTTCTCGGGACAACACCTTTAGGCTATTGGCAACACCTATGTGCTTGGCTCGTGCACCATCTATTTGACCACCTGCAAGCTCAGTCTGGAACAGGTACGTCCTCCATCCCAATCTATGCACCCCAGCCCGGATCGAGATCGGCGCGATCATGCCTGCTTGCTCTCGGGACCCCCCCCCAGCTTATGGGTTGGGTGCCAACACCCTCCTCCTCCCCACCTCATGGCCGCCGTGTTGCACTCGTTCGAACCCACCCAGATTTTTCAAAAATGCCCAGATGCCGCCTCCACCGTGTCAGCAGCATGCAGCGATACGGGCTGCTATAGTCACGGCATTGCTGACCTGTCTAACACCACCTGGCTTATCATTGCTGCGCTCATCCTGTACCCACTTGTTCATATCCGGTGCGTCCTCCACGCCTTTTTTTAGCTGCAGGCCCTTAAAATATGCCTTCCCGGCCTGACACTGACCGCTTGCCTCCTGCACCCCGCTGCCCGCCCCTTGCTACAACAGCACGTTGTCCGAAGCCGGCATTGTCTCCTACGTGGGCTGTGGCACCATTGCCTTTGTCAACGCCGTCATTGTCGTGCACTCCTTAACCACTGTCTCTGCCAAGCACCATCACGCCGCTGAAACGGACCTTTATCCCGCCTCGCTCAAAGACTTTGTCAATGGGTTGACGGCCCTCACGTTCGCCTATGGTGGTCACGTACTCATGATTGACATTCAAGCCGTCATGAAGCAGCCTGCTGACTGGCCCAAAGCCCTCTACTCGTCACAACTCTTCATGTTTGCCAACTATTGCATTATTGGGTTTCTGGGTTACGCTGTCTACGGCCGCGATGTCAAGGCCCCCATCACCTTGAGCTTGCCCGACAATGGCCTTCGTCTTGCCACCAACGTCTGCCTCTTCATCCACGTCGCCATGGCCTACTGCATCAACTCCTGCGTCCTTGTCACCAACCTCGTCGAAATCATCTGGCCCGGGACCTTGACTGCGGCCAAGGCCACAAAACGCCAGGTCATCCTTCGTTGGGGCTTCGTGGGCACCCTCACTTTGGGCTTTGCCATTGCCATTTCTCTCGTGGTCCCCTTCTTCAGCGACCTGATGAACGTTTACTCGAGCCTCGGCATCTTCAGTCTCTCCTTTGCCGTGCCCGTCATCTTCTACATCTTGATTGAGCCCTCACTCCGTGGCTTCAACAAAATCATCAACTACGGCCTTGTCCTCATTGCCATCGTTGGCTGCGTCATGGGCATGTGGGCCGCCATTGAAGATATCGCTGACAAGTGGAAAACCTGCCACTACTCCATCTAAAAGCAAGAGTCCTCGGCCCAGCCCAGATGCACACACACGAGCGGGCTCATGTTAATTCCCGGGAGATGGCGAGTTTGAGCCTTTCCCGGCCATCGACACTCCCCCACTCACACTAAGCTGTGGCCCAAGCCTTTGATACTGCTCTTTCTCTTTTGTTCTTTTGATTCCGAATCGATCATGCTTTGTTTTACGCCCGACCCACCCTGAATAAGCTGCCTCTCTTACTTTCTACCAAACATGAGCCTCCGGTTCATTAAGATATGTTCAAAGAAAGCCATAAGCAACCCACGGCCGCGTGAATGACGGCTGAAAAAAAATGGAGAAGATGATGCAACTCTTGCAAGTGAAATGGTGGCTAACCGCATCTGGTTGTCCTCGTCCACCAAACACAGCCCCGAAAGAAATTGATTCAAAAAGCATAAGACGGGCGGACAAAGCGTGTACGCAAACTGCTCCAAGCAGCTCAGTCAGCCACAGCTTCCGAATTGGTCACGCTTTCAGCTGCTTCTAGGGACGCATCAGGCCCAGTAACTCCCTCGGTGTCTTCCTCAGACGTCATTGAGAAAGTGCCATTGCTGGGCGCCGCACGGCGGCGTCCCGGAGGACTGGTCACCATTGGCGAAGGTGGAGCCGTCAGCAAGCGCAAGGAATCTGAACTCTGGAAGCGTGCGCTTGGCCCCACCGAAGGTCGCCGCAGCCCCATAGCCAACCGTGATAGGCTATCCTCAGCTACAAGAGGCCACATGAAAGGCAATCAGAAATGCCACCCAAAACAGTTGATAGTTCAGCAAATGTCCTGAATGACAGGCACATTAAACGTACATTGACCGCTCGTATCTGCCGTTTCGGTTTGAATCTCCTTGAGGCGCTGCCAGGAGCCGATATATCACATGAGTACCGAGCGGCCAAGAACCGAGTTTCGAGTTTTCAAGTTCGCATACACACACACACACACACACACACACACACACACACTCACTCACTCACTCACTCACTCACTCACTCACTCACTCACTCACTCAAACACATACATACACTCACACACACACTCACTCACTCACTCACTCACTCACTCACTCTCACTCACACTCACACGCACACACTCACACACGCACACACTCACACACTCACACACTCACTCTCTCTCACTCACACACACACTCACACACGCACGCACACGCGCACAAGTTTTCAAGTGCCCACAACCGCAAAATTGCAGACCTTGAGGATGGAAACGCAGAGCCGACAGGCACGCGTGGGCTGCTTTTTGTTGGCCAGTTGCTCGTAAAAGTTTGAGCAGTCATGGCAAAAAATTTGCCCACAAACGCTATCCAGAGCCCCACAACGAAACAGCATCCAGCAAATGGCATTGAGCTGCATCACGCAAATATGTTCAGTGCAGACGCAACGTACCGGCAATGATGTCGGCGCAGTGTAACGCTAAAGGCCTTGTGGCATGAGTTGCAGTCAGGTGCATCCCTGTGTTTTCCCAGCAGTAAATGGTCAATGACGGTCAGTGTTGACGGCAAGCCATCAACGGAAAAGCTGTCGCTTTGAAACCGGGCATAAACGTACTTGTCGGGCTGCCAGATGGAAAGCATTCGTTCGGCGGCGTCCAGGAGGAAGAAGCATTTCTCTGCCAGAGAGACTTTGGCCTCTGTGGCGCGCGTCACGAGCTTGTCCAAGAAATGACAACGTTGTTCGGCCAAGTCAGCTCGTTGCTTGTCCTGCTGGTGGCGGTTAGTCATGCTTTTGAGCCCCTCCTCGGCTTCTGCACGCCGCCGCTCTGCTTCTTGCAGGAGTGCCACGTATTCTGTGAGATCGGCTTGATGTTGTTGCTTCAGTCGGTGCTCTTGTTCGGTCAATTGAGTGTTGAGCCGTTCAATGCTGTGCTTGGCTTCTTGCAGTTGCTGTTCGGACGCAGCCAGGCTCTGCTGGAGTGAAGATGTGCGCTGCGTCTCGTCTGCCAGCTGGTGCTGCAGGCTGGAAATTTGCTGTTGGAATTCGGCCTGAACTGCGCTCATACTGCTTCGGTCGGCCTCGGCGTCACTCATGTTCTGTCGCACATCCATCAACTGTTGTTCCAAAGTTTTGAGTTGGTCCTCGTATTCCTTGGCCAACTCCGCTTGTACCTCACCGCGCAACTAGGGGAAACCACGAAAGATCCGCCCAGCATCTGGTGAGAACACGCGCGGGGGTAGGCGAGTCGAAAATGGGGCGGCAGATCTTCGCCACCAGATCGAAGCCTAAAGGCCATGGGCACGATGTCCGCCACTCACCCGCTCCATAGCACCCTGTTTTGAATCAAGCCCCCCCAAAGGCACGACATCAGAAGGTCGCCTACTGTGACCGGGAACAAAAGTCGAGTCTTTGACCTGCCGCAAAACATCGACGAGCAACCCAGAGCGGACAGGCACCAGGGTGAGATGATGGTGCATGAAAAAGATTCGAGGCTAAGGCATGAGGCGCTGTAGGTCTGAAATGCTCGACCCAAGGTGAGCCGTACCGTGGGAGTGGTGACAGACGACTGAGCATCTTCCAGCTCCTCGCGCACGGCTGCTAGCTTCCGTTTGAGCTCGGCTGCATACGTTTCCGATGCTATTGGGCGTCATTTGGGAGGACATGAGCGAGCTGAGTGCGATAAGCCCTTGACCCAGCCAGAGGTCAATTCAGAAGATGCAGTCAAAGGTTGCCAGCTAGACGCGCGCACCAGACTGTGCCTTGCGTGCATCCGCAAGAGCGCGCCGCAGAGCTTCCATTTCTTTCCGCGTGGCCCGCGTCTCCTCGTTGGGTGACTCGTTCTGGAAAGAGAGCCCAAAATCAAGTTTGAACGTGCACACACAAAGTGAGCTGCTCGCAAATCCCTCGTTGAGATATGTCGCCACAAGAGCACAGCACAAGTGAAGCTCGAAGGAATCAACCCACCGCTTGCCAATGACCCAGAATGGCAGAACCACTGCGGTTTCCCCACGAGTGAGATGAAGACGCATCGCCCTCGCCTTGAGATGAGCTGGCTGTGCGAGGCACGTCGCGCGGCTGCGACGATTGCATAGAAGCCAGCGAGGCACCAGAGAGGCTGCGCCGCAGAGTTGAGCTGGATGAAACAGTTGTGTTGAGGTCTTGGGTCACATTAGGTGAGGAGCGCCGCACGCTCGCTAGGGAGGTTGCATCAAAGGATCGAGCAGCAAAGTCTGGCCATGCCCGGTCCAGGGACAGCTGCAGAAGATGCACCGCACAGAATAGAAGTAAAGCGTAGTCGGCGAATGAGCGAGCGATGTCGGCCGGTGGCAGTCGACCCTTTTCCACGAGCACAACACGCCGCTGGCTCGAGGCCGATTGTTAACATGCTGGACGAACCTTATTCTCAAACATGCATGGCACTTCATTGAGATTATAGAGAGTATCAACGACGCGGCTACGACTTGAGGGCTGGCGCAAAAGCGCAGCTGTGTGGTAATGCCGCTTCACCATGGCCTCATTGCGACAGGCCAGCTGAGGGACCCGGGCAGAGCGAGCGATGAGCTGCAAGCCCAAACCCAAAGGCCTGGACCAGTGTCAACAAATGAGCTCTGGAGGAAAGCCCGGGACATGAGTTTTGAATGTTCGCACCTGTAGCACCTCGGCAAGGCGATTGTTGGTCAACCAGTAGCGCAGCAGGGCGCGACCACGACCTGTGGGCGTGCTCTGGTGATTTAGTCCGGGGACCGCTGTGGGCTATGCACAGGATCCAGAAGGAGCAACAACTGTTGAGGTTGAGCCGACCAATGGCATGCCAAAAGAGGTATGATATAACAAGGGCGAGTCCTGCATACCCTTTCGTGCGTGGGGAGGGCATCGACGAAAAAAACATAATAGTCAATGACATCTGATGACTGGCCGTCACACTCCTACGATGGCCCCACAGCACGCTTGATGAGCAGCCGATCGTGGGACGTTGCCTGCCATGATCAAATGCGGCGTTTCAAGCCTTGCAGAAAAACGCGACACGCACCCGAAAGGCCCGGCTGCCGTCGCGAAGGACGCGCTCCAACAGGTTCCAAAAGATGCCAATGTCCCGCAAATTATCCGTCAGCGGCTAGTCGCAAACCATGGAAGCAGGCCAGGTCACATGACACGTGCATCGTAGACCAACGATGAGCGCGCGAGGAGTGCAATGAGTGAACGGTCTTTGGCAAGCTGTCGGCGACAAGCGCGGGCGCCGCCATGCCATACCCCGCGAGTTCGTACCGCGTTGAGGTTGTAGTGTGTGAGCTTGAGCTCCTCACAAGAAGCAGATAGCTGTCGCAACAACACCTCTGCCATGCTGCCAGGCTGATCTCAATACCCAAGTTGCACCAGACAAATACAATGCCCCAGACCCTTGCAAGCTTGCCCCCACCGCCCTCCGCTCCGGGCTCAGCCTGAAACCGTCGACGCTGCCCTTTACAGAAATGTAAAAAATAAAATAAAAATCAAAAAAAAATTTTAAAAAATGCAAAAGAACAAAAGAAATTGTTGAAACAAAAGATTTCATTGTCAGACACAACACGCGCTCGTGTGTGTGTGTGTGTGTGTGTGTGTGTGTGTGTGTGTGTGTGTGTGTGTGTGTGTGTGTGTGTGTGTGTGTGTGTGTGTGTGTGTGTGTGTGTGTGTGTGTGTGTGTGTGTGTGTGTGTGTGTGTGTGTGTGTGTGTGTGTGTGTGTGTGTGTGTGTGTGTGTGTGTGTGTGTGTGTGTGAAAAGTTGAGGGTATCGCCTTGGTAAAGGAGGCGCGGGTGTGGGGGTGGTTGTCTTTTTGCAGCTTGGCGTTGCGTGTCGTCGGCAGGCACGAGGAAACGGCAGCCAGTCAGCCAGCCAACCAGCACACGTTTTGAAAAAGCAGACTAGGTCAACGGCACTGTGCGCTTTTGAACGAGTGGTCGCCCAAGAAGACAGCAAGAAGCTTGTTTGTGATCAGTCCTTCGCGTGCTCCGGAACCATCAGCGAGATGCGCGTGTGGGTGAGCTTGGCGCTTGGCCTCCTGGGCTGTCTCTCCATGTTCCACGCTGCCTATGGTGCTAGCCAATGTACGTCGCTCTGATGCCGATTGGAAGGCTCGTGCTGGTTTTTTTTTTCGTGCGCCCTGGGATGTTTGAATGCATGGCTACGGTGGATGTTTCCATCTCACGCCACATGACTGTCGATTAGACCGCAACTTTCTCAAAGTGACGTCGCGGCCTTTTGAAAGTGTACCGGCTGATGTGAGTTTGTACAGCTTACCCAGCCGAGCCGCAGCAGGCATACAAGCGTCTGGTGTGGGCTTTGTGCGCCCTCCCTCACCTGTCTGCCGTGCTGTCGCTGTAGATTGCGCTCGAGAGCCTGGCCGGCCTGACCCTGATCATGGTGGCGACTGTGTTGGCCAAGATCGACTTCACCCTCATTCACATTGCGGCTCAGCTGCGTGACAAGTATGTACTCCGCTTCCTGTCAGCCACTCCAGCGTACGCCTACAGATGATGACACATCCGCCCCACCTCACTTTCTGCCTGCTCGCTTCGTATCAGGGTTTACTACACAGCTTGCGGCAAACCCTCGTTGCGGCCACTGCGCACCTCACGCTTGACGTACATGTTCCCGGATAAGAAGCAACAGTAGCAGGTGATGCATCCTACCGACTCGTGCAGCGGCTTTATACGCCCCTAGTCCTGGCCTCACATGCACTACTTGGGCTATTATGACATGGCTTTGTGTCTCCTCAGGCGACGAGGCTTGTACTTGTCGTGCCGATGCGTGTGTGTGATGCCTTGGAAAAAAAACAAAATCAGAAATCAGCCCCGATATTTCCTTCAGTTTGCTTTGTCTTTGACGCAACTGCTGTTGTCTCTGGCGTGCGCTATCAATGCACCATGCACTCCGCGCCCCAGCCAAGGCAGTCGCTGTCTTTTCTTCAACTCATTGACATGCGCCCCTTCTGAGCAAGAAACACCATGGTTGCGTCCAGCGATTTCCCTTTAGTTTGGTTAAGCAATGAATTTTGTTGGATGCGATGGACTACTTGGTCAGAGATCATCACTCCTGACCAAAGACTGTGTCCGAACAAAAAAATTGGGATAAGCAAGCCACCACGCCGTGAGGAAAGCAAGGGGGTGCCGGCACTGTTCCTAAGCGACACGGCGTGGGACTGTTGGAGCTCGACTTTGGCGGCTCAAGCCTCGCTGAGGCAGCTCGCAGCAAAAACAAAGAAAAAAAGGCGCGAGCGAGATGGCATGATGTAGGGACACCTTTTCGGCGACATTCCTCTCGGAAGACGCGAAAGGATGTTGACAGGATGTATAAGCACAATGCAGACGGTCAATATACGCACACTATCGAGCCTCCCGGAGGCTTTAGGAGGCCTGGCTATCTGAGGTGGCCTTGCTCGAGCTGGAGTTGATCTGCCTCAGAGATCGCTCTGGGGCTCGCGTTGCGGTGCCTAGGTACAGGGTGCGTACCACCTCACGCAACGTGGACACTTCTGTGCGCAATGCAGCTGCTTCGCTGGCCAATTGCTTGTGATGTAGCACCAGGCGTTGCAGATCTTGCGCCGCCGACTCATCGCGCCATTTGCTACGCTCGCGATGCTTGCGCGCCGCCTCGCGGTTGAGTCGACGGAGCCGAGCACGGTCTGCTTCTGCAAGATCTGCAATGCGGCGACGCCGCGCTCGTTTCGTACTCGGCGCAGCCTCACCATCAAGGTCACCATCGCCACTGCCAGCAGAGTGAGCACCATGAGAGGGAATGCTTGTGCTGCTGATCCTCGGCCCAGACTGCAGAGAGCGACCTCCGTCGCTATGACCCCTATGCAATACAAAGTTCTGAGTGTGCCCAAAACTTGCAGCCTTGGTTCCCAGATCAAGAAGTGTCGGGGCCATGGATGCCTCCACCACAGCACCGGGCCTTGCTGAGGGCATGACAAGACCCGTGGAGCTTGATGGGGCTATGGAAGTGCCTGTGGTAGATGACAGGTTGTAGTTGGCCAGGAGAGGATTGCCAGCTCCAGCCGCATTCTGAGCTGACAATGCTGCAGCCATGGCTACCGCTTGTAAGCTTGCGGGATCGGACACGGCAGGGAAGTTGAGAAGTCCCTGTGGCCAAGCCGACGATGTGCTAGCGCCGACACCGCTGGGAGTGCTAGTGGTGGTGCTGATCATGCCTGGCACAGTAGAGAGGGCTGGGGCAGTAGAGATACTATTCTGCGCAGCGGGCATACCCATTGCTGCGGCTGCAGCCGGGTTGAGCAGGAGAGACGACCACCAGGGCACTTGCCAGGGCAGCGTATTGGCCGCCCAATCAACGCCATTGGCACTAAAATAACGGGGGCGATATCAGACGCCAGGTTTATGAGTGAGACCGCCGCCACCAAAGCACACACTTGATGCTTGTTCTCGGAGACGCAGACGAGGAGGGCAAGAAACGCGCACCCGAGGCTCGCTTCTGTCGCCGGGGCCGAGGTGCCAAAATTTCTTGAGGCGTCGTTGTGGCTGTGGATACTTCGATGCTGGCTAGGCGACGAGGGAGCGCGTGGGGCCGTGCTGAGGGCCACGGTTGACAACAGATCCAGTGGAGCGGGAGCTGCATGCACATTTGCAAAATGCAGCCGACATGAGTGGAGGATTGCATAAACGGTGCTCAAGGCTGGCAAGATCCACAGCACGAGTCGAAAAACAAACAGGGCCGTTGAATACAAACCAAAACTGCCGATACGCCATTCATCGCCATCTTGTGCATTCAGAACATGGCCGGGTCCACAACATGCCCAAAGGTAGTATCAGCATAACGTGGTCGGGAAGCCTTGGCGAAAGCGCAACACAGACATGATTGTGGCAGGGAGAGAAGGGGAGGGCTGACCTTCAGTGTCCAGGGCCCCGGAGAGCCCCATTGGATCCAGGTTGGGAGTAACCTCGGTGCCAATTATGGGTTTACCTCGAACACTTGGTCCCATGATAGCGTTGTTGATGGCTTGCAGAGAGACGATCGACCCCCCCGGGGCCGCCGCCTCAAGGGCACGAGCGAAGGCACTCGAGCTGGCTGTAGAACGCCGTATATGGATGAGCATCAGATGGTGAAACTTTGGATGGGGTAGTCAGGGAACACTTTGTTCGTACCAGTGGGTGCGGTGCCTCCATGAAAGAGAAATCCTGGCGCGGCTGAAGTCGGGAGATTGGGCCGGCTGAGCGTAGCACTCATGCTCGCTGAGAGGCGCGACTGAGTCAGTTCTATGTTGACTTGCCCGCCTCACACCGCGCACATGCCCGGACGAGACGTATTAACTGGTGGTGCTTGGCGCGCGGGCCTCAGCAAACACTGCCCTGCTGCGACTGCCAAGGTCAAGGCAGGCTGGGCTGGGCCAGTTTGGGTGGAAGCTAGGTTACAACGGGTGGAAGCAATTAGTATATGCAAGAGCGACAGAACCTGTCCTTGATCGGTGGGACAAAGAGGAGGCTGTCTGATCAAGACCGAGGCCAAATATTGAGGGGGAAAAAGGTGCTGATGGCCAGGGGCCAACAACATGCCTATTGATCCGAGGGGAGCGCAGCTTGCCTCGTGGTGCACTTGCAGTGGATACAGACTCCTGTACTTTTTGCTCGGACCCGAGTTGTTTGCAACTTGGTGTTGGATGTCACAAGATCGAGCCGGGTTTGGCGTCGGAAGGGCACTTGTCTGCAGTGCCTGTCAAGTCAGCGGGCGGCAGACACAGTCGCTATGTCAGCGAGTTCGTGGTGCGACGTTGATCAGGAGGATGGTGTGGGGTTAGGGTGGAGGGGCGGCATCCAACCCGAGCCAAGTCGGCACAGAGATGCGGGCGCCCAGCAGAACGCGAGGACGGACTGCGAGGACGGAACGCGAGGACGGAACGCAAGGACGCCTTAGCAGCGGCAGCAACACCGACAGATAAAAATAACGAGACTGAGGTATATGACATCACACACACACACACACACACTGACCTGCTATCCCTGGCGATCAGAGCAGGCGCGACTCGAGTGTGAGAGTGCGAGAGGGAACAGTACCATCATCATCTCTGCGTCCCGCGATGCAAGATGCCGTTCGCTTCTACTTGACCCCACACACACACACACACACGCACACACACAGTCAAGACCGAACTTATGTAATCTACCACACTTGACCGTATTTGATTACTTTGTTTCATTACTGCTCGGACCACACTTGCAAGACGGGCTGTACATCATCTTCAAACATGTCCGCAGTTCGCTTGCATCAACGGGTGTGAAATCATCTGACAAAATGCGAGACATGACGTACGCTTGCAAACTTGAATGGTCAAAGTGTGATGTAGTGTGATCCTTTGATCCTCGAAATGTCAGACATCTTGGTGCCGCAACCTGATGTAAGCGACCGTTGGGACGCAATTCCTCTCATCATCCTCGAATTTCGTATTAATTTTCGTGTAATTTTCGGCAAGTTTTATCCGCAAAGCCGTCTCGCCTCTCGCGTCGATTGAGGAAGCCGCTCGCATGATGGGTGAGCTGGACCATCGAGGTTGGCCGTTGCTGTACATCTGGTGCCATTCCAATGGTTGCCGTAGATCAAGACGGTCATCATAGAATTTGAGAATTTGACTTGACCTTGACTCAGGGCTTGATTGACGACTTGCGAGGTTGAAGCATAGTACACAAACACACACTCTGGTTTGACTGTAAAGTATAAAATTATGTCAGTTCAAGAAGAAATCATGCACTTGCATGAATCGAGGACTTAAGGCCAAAAGGCCACAGAGCACGGCACAACACGCACGGCGGGAAGACGACAAGACAAAAAAAAAAACAGAAGCACGTCCTTGCTCCTCAATCTATCGGGATGGCTGTTGTGGATCTGATAAAGTTTGTCGCTGGCAGGCGTCGAGCACAAGTGCCAAGCCTTCCTCAGCCAGCCATGTGGATACGTTGCGGGCATATGGCCAACGCGTCCTATCACCAGTCCAGCAGCGAGTGACCCGGAACCATCGCAGGGCGAGCCGATGAGCATACTACGACAAACGAGAGTAGTGGCTAAATGTTAGCGTCAAATCCGTGCTTCCACGCATTTGAGCACTCCCTGGAGCCTGACACTAAATGCTAGCAGACCCCAACGAGGCCAAGAACACGTACCTGGCCACTGCAACGGTGGACCTGCTATCGTATGCACGTAGACCCCCATCCAGGACCCACTGGAACATGTCAGCGATTTCATCTCCTTCTACACCTATTGGTCAATCATGGGGCGAGGGAAGAGGCGCAGAAGGGGATGACATACAACACAAGTCATCATAGCATGAGCTCCACGAAGATATCAGGCTGCTGCTCCAACTACCACTGCCATTATGACCATCATCGGACGGCTCAACCGCCCTCTGATGATAACGAATACTCCGCACATCTTGAAGCTTTTGTGTCAATCGGTGGCAACTGCGCACGAGTTCGCACCTCCTATCATGGCGCGAAGGTCTGCCAGCGCCATCGCATGATAATTGACGAGCAGGTCCCAGCCGTGCTGGCGCGCCGACGTGTCAAGCTCTTGTGCAAACTCAGCCATGGTTAATCGCTGCCCGACCAACCGAAGTGCCACTGCCCGTCGCCACGGGCTTATGTGACCCGTCAGAGCATTACCCAGATGCTGCGCTGCTGCCCGTCCCACGTCACTGGCCGCATGCATGACGACGGGGAAGTCTGCAGGAAAGGGACTCGCAAGAACCACATGCAAAGCACCGCTCACGGGGTCTCGAGAACATCGCACACGGTCCTGGCCACCCTTGCGCACGAGATTTTCATAAAAGAAGCCCGTGTGCCAGGTCGATACCGTGACAAAGTTTGGAAGCTGGGTCACCAGAGCATCCTCGATGTCAGCTTTAGCGTTGAGTGCTGCTAACTCGGTGCGCGGTCCACTGCTAAAGGCCACATGACGCACGCCTGCTGCCGCAGCCTGCACAACCAAGCGCTGACCCACTGCCTGCTCTCGACCCTCTGTCCAATCAGAAGTGGTTATTAGAAAAATGGCCGCACAACGCTGAAACAGGCGAGTCAGATTTAGCGCCGGGTCTTGCAGGTTGGTCTCATACAGCTCCACATTATACAGGGCTTGCAATCGTCGAGCTCTCGCCGAGGATGCATTTCGAGTCAGGGCAATGACATGTACATCCGCACCAGCCGCGAGCAGGTGATCTACCAGCCCCCCTCCTGCCCACGCCATGGGCCAAGGCCATCCATCACGCAGTTGTCGAGTGAATGATCAAACACCACAGAGAGGTTAAGCAGTCAAGCAGTGGATGGATAAGCTGCCTACCTTGGTAGCCAGTGGCCCCAAACACCAAGACTGTCGGTCGCACCGTGCCATGGCTCCGACTCTTTGCGCCGCCACTCTAACACGAGCCATGCTGCAGAGTTGAGTCATGTTTGGTTTGAACGCACCACTCATCAGAGACACACACCTTGTACACGAAGAGCAGGGCAGCCACCAGTGCGGACCACGTCGCGAAAGTACGCATGGGATGACGAATCGCCATGGCGCGCAAGTGTGGGCGCTCACACCCCAAAACAAATTCGGCACAAGATCAGGCGAATTCCATGCATGCATGCATGGACGCGGATCAGAATGAGGCGGAAGAAAGTGCCTGTGGCTCTTAGAGATGAAACGGCGAGATACTTTCGAATCACAAAAGTCTAAGGTGCATGCAGCACAAACATTGCAAAGTCACAAACGTGCACATTCGCTCAAAGTTGACTGTTGAGGTTCAGCCCGCACCATGGCGCACTGCACACGGAAGTGTAGAGCTTGTTCGTGATTGGAATGAGCAAGACGTGGCTGTGTTTCAGAGCCAGTATCGTGCCTGGAACTCAAACAGCTTCAAAGATGTCTGAACACGAGTGTATCTTGATCTGGTTCGTTTGTCATGTGAAGTTGTGAAGATTAAAAAAGAAGGCGAAGTTGCGAATCGAACAAATCCGCCGAAGCACGGAGTCGACACCACAAGGTCAGAGACAGAGGAGATACAAGTAGAAGGGGAGAGAAGAGAGAGAAAAAGAGAGAAAATAAGAATAAGTTGAGAGAGAGACACACGCACAGCAACATGATGAAGTACATACATGCACGACAAGAGTCGGCTCGGCTCAGAGGCACGGCTCCGCTTCGGTCAGCTCTTTCGGGCATGCACGAATGGACCCGAGCGCACCGAGCAAGGTGTCAGATTTTGTTTTATCTTCTTCTTGAAGGCTTGTCTTATCTTCCCTTAGTATTATGGCCTAAAATCGCGCTTTCGCGAAAACAGTGAGAATCAGCTCTTTTGCCATGCGGAAGTACACTAGAGCGATTCAATCTGTCGAAATTGTCAGCCATCTAAGAGCGTCGTGTGACCAAGTGTAGTTTGTTTTACTCTTCCTGTGTATCGGAACAGCACACCTAGATTTTTTGCGAAAATATCCCCCTCATCGAAAGCAGTGAGATGGCCTCAAAGTCTCTATGGCAAACGAAAAAGACTTTGTTCGAACTGAATTGCAGGTCGTCAACAACACGAGCGAGGAATGGACAGCGCTATCCTTCCGCCGCAAGAATTTGGGACGAGAGCTCAGCAAAAGGAACGAGGGAGGGGGCTTTTGTGTTCAAAAGGCGATGCTTGCGTTCTGAAAGCATGTCGACACACTACCCCATCGAACGCGTCAAATCGTCAAGTCGATACCCGATGGCGATCGCCGATACGGGGCCATGCTCGTGCACTCGGTGGCCACGGGGGACTGACGATTTGCGTGACGAGAAGGATGGTCGCATGCTTCCGAGTTTCAGCCCAAAGGCTGAAAGCCACGTGAATCATAAACACCCCTTTGCCATCAACAAACATGGACACATTCACAAACATTGAAAGATACGCGCGGATCAACCATGGCCGGCCGGATATATGAAAGGCTGGCTGGCTCTTGATCGACTGCTCACCGGCAACCACCTCTAGCATGACCAACGATACGGGGCCATGCTCGTGCACTCGTTGGTCCATATGCTAGGGAGGCGCGTAAACAACCGACATTGGCCAAGGCAGACAAGTCACAACAAGACTCGAGTTCACTCCTCAGCAGGCCAACAGGTCTGTGATCTGCAGAGCACTGGGTGTGCTCCTACAAGCGATCCAAAAAGTCGGCGGGCACAGGGACGCGCACCTGTTTGGTGTACATTCAAAGCAGAAACACTTCATGAGCGACCGATTCAAAAAAGCTCAACGTAAAAGACCCAAGGACAAAAAGTCAACAAAAAACAACAGCGGCTAGACTGCCTTGAATACAAGGCGCAGGCGTACCGGCAATCCCTTGCGCACGCGCGTGGCTTGCACCAGACGACCACACATGGAAGTGTCATCATCGACGCTACCATCAACCAGCTTGGGGCCAGCACAGGATCAGGAGTAAGCAGGCCGTAGGTAGGCTAGACGAGAAGTGGTTCGATAACATCTCACAGCAGATCGCTTCCCATCGCCAGAGCACACAGAAGAAATCCACGGTAGCACCAACCTGCCAATGACTGAAAGAGGTCATTGGGAAAGCCGTGCCTGAAGTTGCTCCCATCAGATCACCAGCAAACCCAAAGCTCTCGCGGACGGGCAGATGAGCAGCCACCGTGTGCAGACCGGAGCGCGGTTCCACCATGTCTTCAAAGATGGCGCCACGGCGGTTCTTCAACACCTTGGGCACAGCGCTCAACGCCCGAGCCGGCACTGTAGTCCCCAGTACCAATAATTCGTCGTGAGTCTGCCAGTCATGCCACTCTGGGGCTCCGGTCCAGGTGTAACGTCAGCCACTGTAGCCATCATCTCCAACCTTACCTTGGATGTCAACCCGGAAGATGGGCTCTTGCATTGAAGGTTGGGCCGATAGGACCGCTCCGGCAAACGCAGCACGAGCCATGGGTAAGATCTGGTCAATGCGACGGTGCACGGCATCCTAGATGTCACCATGCAAAGCACCCACAAGTGTAGCAGGTTGGAGTAAGGTTGGAGGGTCGCGAACTGCTGTTTTCATTCCAGAGTAGTCGATAGCGTACCGCATGCATCTTGGCATCCACAATCTTGAAGCAGACTCCGGCCAACGCCTCGTTGGTGACAGGGCCTTGGGCACAAATCTGACGCACAAGAGGGGGCAAGCACAACAACGGATGAGCACTTGGCGACTCTTCTTACTCGCTACGATGCACAAAGGCCGACTGGTTGGGTATGCATGCTCACCTGCTTGAACCCAAGAATGACGAGGTCGGCAATGCCACTGAGGTCCATGCCCACTGTGCAGTCCACCAGAACATTGGTGCCTGACATGCTCATTATCTATCAAGGCAATCAAAGCAAACGTGCATCGTCAGCATGCTGCACAGCACAGATGGTAGTCAAAGGCGTTCACCACAAACCTTGCGGGCCATGTTGCGATCCCAGCCGGTGAGCTCGGTGACCAACTGCACGCGCGTCAACTATGGCACAGGGTCGCACACGTACACACACACACACAATAGTGTGAGTCAGGCAAGAGCAATGGTTGTGACGAGGTATTTCTTGGTGCGAGATTTACCAAAGGTTGAGTCATGGTGACGCGCTGGCTGTCCAGGGCCTCGATGAGCTCACTGGGCAATGGTTCGGCCACTACGAACAAGCGATTATGCTTGTTGCTGGACTTGGCCAGGCAGGCCTAGGCGGCGGCAAGGCATATCAAAGCAAAAGCAGCGTGGTGTCAGACATGTCGTTGTCCTGCAAAACAATTGACACACTTTTCCGCATCTCAGTCCTGCCACCGCACCTCAGATGGGCTCAAGATGGTCTCCACACACTGCACGACGGGCTCATCGGCCTGAATCTCACAGCCAGCGGCGGCGGCGATGGCTTTGATGGCTACCTCGACGTGGAGCTCTCCGACGCCGGCAACAAGCTTCTCGCCCGTCTCCTTGTCGACGAGGCACTCAAGGCAGGGATCCTGCTGTTCAACGCGACGCATGGCAGCCACGATCTTGTTGTTGTTAGCGGCCTTGATAGCTCGGATGGCCACGCGTACAACTGGGCTCACGCTGAAGCGCATCGTCTTGATGTTGTCCACCTGGGCAGGACTGTCTGTGACCGTACCGGCCTTGGTCATGGCGCCTTCAAGTCCCACGAGGCCGACAATATCACCGGCGCAGGCGTCACCGAGACCTTGCATGGTGGTGGCACCGACACGAGCCACAACGCGGACCGTGGCCTCTGCTTGAACAGCGGGTGCCTCGGCGGTGTGTTCGGGCCGCAGTACATGAACACGGTCACCCGAACGCACAGTGCCCGAGAAAACACGGCCATAGCCAATAATTTCCTTGGACTTGCCCGGGGCTGGCAGCATCTTGCTGACATAGACCACCAGTGGGCCGTCGGCACGGCACGCTGCAATGGCTTGGGCCGTGCTAGACTCGAGGTCGCCGTCATATACAAAGGGCAAGCGGATGGGTTGGGCCTCAAAGGGGGAGGGCAGGCGCCAGTTGATCATCTCGAGCATGCCTTCAGCCACAGGCAGCCACTGCTTCATGATGAGCTTGCGAATGTCCTTGAGGCTATCGTCACACCACTGGTGCTCTTTGAGCACACACCCGAACTTATCACTCAGGCGGCGCAGGCCCTGCAGTCAATCCGGCCGGCACCGCACACCGCCGAGGGGCGCAATGCATCAAGGTAAGACGAGGCAAAAGGAAGCGCCTTGTGTGAAAATGGGAATGGGTGCCTTTTCGGCGGCGCAGAGGCTCGGGCGAGAATTTTGTGTAAAAGGAGCGGGACTCACCTCGCGATCATCGTTGGCTTGCAGCTCAAAGACGCGATAGATGGGTTGCAGCACGACGTGGCAGAAAGTTCGCGACCAAGGCTGGCCCGTGCTTGGGTCCTGCGGGCAATCACGCTTCCACTTGCCAGAGACAGGATCCACGTAATAAGAGCCCCACAGTCTGCGGGCTACTTTGATCACTTCTCCTCGACTCGGCGTGTAATCAGGACGCTGCTTGGCAAGAAGGCGAGCTGCCATCTGGGGCAAAGTGAAGCCCCAACCGTGCAGACCAGAGGCAAAGGCCACAGAGCCGTCGGCCGGGGACACGGCAAAGTCTGCGCCCTCGGGTTGATATTGCGCGATCAAGTCATTGACGTGCGCGATGGTGGCCTCGAAGCGCAGGTAGCTGGTCTCGGGGTCGTATTGCAGCTCGGTGATGCAGCGGTCCACCTGCGCGAGACAGAAAAAACAACAAAAAACAAAAAACCAAAAAACAAAACAAAACATGAGAACAGACGTGTACTTCAGGTTGCGCATGTGGTGGTCGTGGCGGGGCCCTTTGGCAAAACCTATCCTGGACCAGGCGAGGCGCTGGGCTACCGCAGCACATGTCTCTTACCTTGTTCAAAACGAGCACAGGACGCACGCCTTCCGCCAAGGCTTGGCGCAGGACCGTTTCAGTCTGCACGCCCACCCCTTCGATAGCGTCCACGACAACCAGCGCCCCATCAGCCAAGCGGAGGCTGGCTGTCACCTCGCCGCTAAAGTCTACATGACCGGGGCAGTCGATCAAGTTGACCACAAGCTTCTACTCGTGTCAAAGTTGAAGCAAGATAGGCAACAGAGTCAGAACAGCGCTTCCAAGGTACACCTGGCCATGGAGCATCGACGAACCGAAGGTGCTTCCTCATTGCTTTGCAGAGCAGAGAGAGCAGCCGAGGCCACGGCTCGGCGAGCTGCCTTGCGGCTGGGGTGGTAAGACTCGGTGGTTGTGGAAAGGACGTCGGGTATGCGCGCGGTGCACTTGAATTGGCCTGGAAGAACGGTTTCAGCCGGGAGTTCGTAGGGTCAGCACATGGGCATGCGAAGTGGGGTGGGCGACAGGGCCATAATACTGAGCCATAGTTGTGTCATACCAGGTGCGTTGGCGTCCTCTTGCAGTTCAAAAGTGGCTGGGGCTAGTTGGTGCTCCTCGAGAAAGCCAAACAACTGCTGCTCAGGGCCTGCAGCTTGAGGCTCAACGACCAAAACACGGCCACCAAAGTCTGGTACATCCTGCAGACGCCTACGCTTCGACCCACAGGAAGGGTATGAGCTGTATTCGGTCCACTTGAGACCCCCAAGAACATGCCACGTCGCGCAATTTCTGTGTAAGTGATGCCCACAAACCTCAAGGCTTGGCCGGCAGCCTCGGGGGAGGCGAAGCGCGCCAGGGCAAAACCGCGCTTGGGGCGCAGCTCCAAGGCTTGAAGCTGGGCTTTGTCCATTGGCTGGCCAGCGCAAATCAGCTGGCGCAGCGCATGGTCCAGGGCTGCTTCATCCTCAAAGTCCTTGGAGCGTCCCGGAACTGGGAGATTGCCTGTGTCATGGCAAATGGCAAAGTGGGCAGAAAAAAGGCGAAGCAGGTGGTTGCGTGAGAACGGGGCATGGGTATGGGTCGTGGAAGCACATCAGGCTCATGCAGACCAGTCACTGTGCAATACCGAGGTAGAGGGTGTCTGATTCGACAACCAATGGCCCCAACTTGTTGCTAGCTGGCAAGCCTGAGCGCGGCTCGATCCTATTTGACAACGGCAGGGCGCGCAAGAAGAGGCACGGGGCAAACGTAACAGTGCGCGTGAGAAACAGGCTGCAGCAACAAACAAGCAGCAGAGGCATCGGATTTCGAGGAGCAGGAGTACACTGGTAACGAAAGCACATCAAAAGGCACAGCCGTCCCCGACTGACCCATCGAAGACCAGGCGAATGCCGGTGGAGGTGATGGTGATGCCGCGCGCCTTTTCTTCCTCGCCCGTGTCCAGCGCCAAAGACTTTCCAGCCTAGCTCACCATACGATGGCGGTGAAGCAACGGAAGGGTGAGTATCGTTGAGTTGAAGAGACGCCATTGGGCTCAAAGAGCCGCAGGCAAAGTCTAGGCTAGTTGAGGGTCAGACCTTGGCTTGATTGAGGACTTGCGCACGAGCAAGGAGCGAGTCACACAGCGTAGTCTTGCCGTGATCGACGTGCGCTATGACAGCGACGTTGCGGGTCGCAGCGGGTTTGATCTACGCAGCGACAAGACAGCCGAGTGAGTTGCTCATGGTTTTGGCATGTCGCGATGCCGTTGGGGGCGCGCTGGTTCTGGGTTAGGGATGCCTGACCTTTGATAGCATGGCGGCGAGTGGACTAGCGCTTGCGGCGCTTGAAAGCTTGAATACGACAAGATTCGTCAGCCTCACTTGCCTCCATCAACGAGGACAAGGGAGTCGAAAGCGGCCGGGAGGCACGCAGAGGCAGTAGAGCGTTGGAGCGTTGGGGTGGCGGTTGGGGTCTTAAACCGAAGAGGTCCGATGAAAAATGCCACTTGCCAGATGCGACAGTCTCCATCAAGCCGGGTCTTGGTCCGGGTCACGATGTGTACGCAAGCGCTGTTACGAAGAGGTGTTATGCAGTCACCTCACACCAACTGGCTGTCGCTCGAACAAACAAGCACCTATTTATTGCACAACAAATCCATCGCACGTGACCAAGTTGAGCAGAACCCTCCCCACCTCCTCCCCACCCACGTCCCAAGCATCATTCTCCATTCTCTTCCCCTAGCGGACCGCCTTGTCCATCATCAAGAACACCACTTACCACGGATCCGCCCACCGCCAAAGAAAGAGAGCAAAGAAAGAGAGGGGATCGACCAACGTCTCTGCTCGTCTAAAACACACACACACACACACACACACACACACACACACACACACACACACACACACACACACACACACATCTGTTCGTGGTGTTATGCAGAGGTCAAATTGAGGTTATCGCGGTGCGAGTGAGGGTTATGACAGGGAAATACAACAGGTGTTGTGGCGGGAGTGGGATTTGCTGAATAGACACACACACGGACGGACGGACGGACGGACGGACGCGGAAGAACGAGGCAGGTCTGCGACGAGTGCAGTGCAGCAGCATGGTGGAGCCGAGCGCGTTGCTGCTGCAGCGGCAGCTGAAGGAGCTGACCAAGAGCCCTGTCGATGGGTTCTCAGCGGGGTTGAAGGATGACGACATTTATCACTGGGAGGTACGTTTTTCTTTGTTGGCGGCGCATTATCCAGCGTCATTGCCCGCTCACTCACTTGGACGTGGGTGGTGCTATAGGTCATGATGATGCCTCCCGAGGGCACGCTGTATGCCGGGGCTATGCTTCGAGCCGAGCTGATTTTTCCGCGTGGTACGCAAAGTCCTTGTCTAGGATCTTGTTTGTATGGCGCTGGGCTCTTTTGCTCAAACAAGTGTCTGGTTGAGGTTCTCTTCGCTGCCCCATTGTCTGACCAATGTGCCGGCCGATGCAAGCGCAGAATATCCCAGCTTGCCGCCGAAAATGACGTTTGTCAAGGTGTGGCCGCATTTGGAGTCGGACTTCCTGCTTTGTTGTGATGGCTCGGGACCGTGATCGCTCAGAGGCGCCTTGAAGCTCACCAGGTGGGCTGGGTCTATCATGCATGCCAGGTGATTCCCTGGCATCCCAACGTTTATGAATCTGGCGAGGTGTGCATCTCTATTTTGCACCCACCAGGTCAGATGCATAGCACCTCTGTGCCGCTGCCTCCCAGCCCTTTACCTCCTTTTGGGTTTGACTTGGCTCTTTCCGTTTCGACCGTGCACATACTTTTGCTTGCGCGCAGGCGACGATGAGTTTGGGTACGAGCAAAGCGGAGAGCGTTGGCTACCCATTCACACCGTGACGACCATTTTGCTCGTAAGTGTGCTTCCGCTTGCGTATCTACCTTGGTCCTGATCTGGCGACATTGCAACTACCACCGTGCTCATGCCTGCATCGACCGTGGGATGCGACTGGATGCGGCAGAGCGTGCTCTCCATGATGTCTGAGCCCAACGATGAGGTGCGAAGGAAATGTTTGGCGGAATTTTGCTGGTGCCCCGCATGCCTAACAGCTGAGCAGCCTGTTATTACACGAGCTCGCTCTGGTGCTGTTCGCATGCTCGCTCAACGGGGGTTTGACCACCTTTGATAGAGCCCGGCCAATCTGGACGCCGCCAAGCAACTGCGCGAGGATCCGCAAGGCTTCAAGAAAAAGGTGAGTGAGTGTTTGTGCGCCTGCATCTCGTTTTTGAGGTCGATGAGACATAACCCAGCTTGATTTTGCTCCTGACACCTACGGTTCAGGTGCGGCAGTGCATTCGGCGAAGCCAGGAAGAGGCCTATGATTAAGTAGCACGCAAGGCACCGTGTGCCACCTTCCATCCCTCTCAACATTCTATGTTTGCGAATGCAATCTTTGTGCACCATGGCGTGAACCTCTTTGGTCTCTTTTGCCAACCTGATTCTCGAAATTGTGTAAATTCTAGCCTTGCGTTACGTCTCTTTATTGACCCAGCGCACAATCTGGACACCCGCGTTTGTGTCACACGCACAGGGGATGACGGGCACTGGACAAGATGTGAAGCAGGAAGGCCGCAAAGCCGCGCAGCGGCTACGCTTAGCGTATCATAGCCTAACCCTCTACTGTTTGGTTCTGTTTTATCCACAAGCCAGGAGCCTAAACTCACAATTTACTCATCACCGTCATGGCTGCGATCGCACTGGCAGCGGTACCAGCACCAGCGCCAGCATGGGACTCGGGTACTGGATACTGTTCCCATAGCTGTGCCACAACTGCATTCAGGGCGGGTGGTAGTGGCCAACGCAATGTCAGGTTCAAGCTAGCTTCCTGAGTCGCGGCCCACAAGATGGAGGCAGGAAGCGCAAATGCCATGCCGTGCTTGTCCACAAACTGGCCCCTTTGATAGACCTGCGAAAGACAAGTTGGTCAGGAAGTGTCATGCCTCTGGATATTGATGAGTGTGAAGGCGCAAAAGGTCACGAGTCACGCACCGTCGCATAGCTATTGATGATGCCTGCGTAGTGATAGCGGCCCGGCCCAGAGGCCAGAAAGAGAGGGCCTCCACTACAGCCCTGGTAGACTGCGCGCATGCACAGCCATATTACGAGTCAAACAACGCAAGCATCCTCGTCAGATCAACTCGAGTACAAATCAGCCCAAGAAGCGGCATCACGCTTCTGACCTGGAGCAGCTACAATAAACATGGCCGGAACGCGGGGCGAGCAGGGAGTGGAGGTAACGGGTGAGCAGTGTAGAACAGCATGGCCCAGGCTAGCCACTGCATGGCGCGCATCGCTGGCACGCTGGGCTCGGGGAAATCCACAGACCAGGGCCGTCACGGGGCCCTCGGGTGCTAGCTTGAGCATTGCCGCTGTTGGAGCGATATGGACGCTGGCCGGGGCACACAGCGCAGGGCAGTGCAGGATAGCAACATCGAGCTGGTGATCCTGAAAGAGGCATGTGGCAGGCCAAGCGGCGGTGCTCGCTTCTTCTTTCGGAACGATGATGCACCAGTGGCCACCATTGGATGTGTTTCTGCTGGGAGTTAAACGGCCCAACAGCTGGCGACCGTGAGGCACACTTCGGCTTGAACGGTGGCGCAGAAGGTGAGTGAGCAGCTGTCGCCAAGCGTACCTTATGGCGGTGCCCGAGGCCAAGTGAGCACATGTGATGACGAGCTGCGGGGCGATGAGAAAGCCCGAGCCGAAGCGGGGTCCGTGGCGCACGAGCACCGTTCTTCGCAAACAGGCGTCGCGATCCATGGCCCACTCCAAAGGCTCCTGCTTCCTGCGTGTTCAGAAGGGTTCAAACGGACTGGACTGTCTGCCTTGCGATTTGATCAAGGCTCCTGCACTGCCTCAAGCAAGTACGGCAGTTGTTTCCGGCATGGCAACTGTCGGGATGAAATTCAAACTGACTGCCAGTTGGGGTCAATGTGTGATAACATTCTTCCCTTTTTTTTTTCTTTTTTTTTGAAGGTTGTCGGGAAGCTTTTTGCAGATGGCCCTTGTGTTGTCAATAATTTCTAGCTTTCATGTTGTGGATGATGGTCATGAGGGAAGGGATTGGACGGCGGTATACTGGTCAACTTATCGCAATTGAAACAGGAATGCGGAGTGATGTGACGTGGGAACCGCTTTCTCCTCCACGCACATGATGCATAGTCATGCCGATTTGCTGCCTCGACACATGAGCAGGGCTCACACAGCAGAGGCAGAAGCCAGCAAGACAAAGAATCACGGGGACGGATGGGTTGGACATGCATGGGTACGAGGTCTGCGCAGACCCCACCTAATTTTGGGGTTGACCCTTTGCACACACAACGTACACACACACATGGTCTTGGCCAAAACGATGTACATGCGCACGCACATACATGTCATTGGAAAATCCTTAGGTCTGTCGCTTCCTTCAAGAAGGCGGCAGGGGGCTTAAAAAAAGAAGAAGAAGAAGAAGAAGAAAAAGAGGCAAGCATGGACGTTGAAGCGAAGAGTGGGCATTGTGGTGGTCAGGAAGGAGCTGCTTACTGGCCAATGGTGAGGCCAAGGCCAAAGGCCGAGTCACCCTTGAGATGGTCAAGGATGGCGGACACGGTAAAGTTGACGCCCGGCGCCAGGGTCTTCTCGTAAACAGAGGTGATGACACCCGCAGTCGAGACCTGGCCACGAACCATGGCCGAGCTGAAGCGGGACTGGAAGCCAACGTTGGCCGTGCACGAGGCTTGGGCCAGGTTCAGCTCAAAGTTGGTGCCCAGTGCAATCGTGTCCGAGTAATCGTGCTGGTACGAAGCCTCCAAGACGCCCATCGGGGACATGGTCACGCTGGTCGTGTTGTTGGCACCGCGGTAGCGACCACCAAATGATGGGATGGCCTGCTGACCACCGGGGCCATACTGCCACATGCACTCGCCACCCAAAGCCAGGCGTTGCGTGATCTTCTGCAAGTAGTTGAACACCCTAAGTCCCATGGGCACGGACACGGACACGGACACGGACACGGACACGGACACGGACACGGACACGGACACGGACACGGACACGGACACGGACACGGACACGGATACGAATACGGACGCAAAGCAGGGTGAGTCGCTACGCGGTCCCAGCACCGGTCAACACAAACAGGAGGGAGGGTCGTGCAAAAATGCAAGAAAACCCGAGTTGGAAGAAGACAACACAACACACCAGATGCCGCGGCTGTTGAGGGGGTCGACGTTGACGGCCTTGAGGCCAACGTGAAAGTCAGCGCCATCGTAATCCGTTTCAACCTGGACACCCTTGTATTCTGCACCGTCAGTCTACAATGCGTTTGAAAGTTGAACAATCGGGCCCAACCATAGTGAGCAGTGCGACATTGATAGGCGCGATCCCATCAAACCCGAGGGCAAAAGAAAGCTTTGCAAGGCCTCGGGAAAAGGATGACCAAAAGACAGGGGATGGTATGCATGCCAACCTGAATCTGCAGGCGCGAGCGCAGCTGACGAGACCAGTCGTAGACAATCTGGGCCGTCAAGCTACCCTTGTGGTCCAGGTCAGCCATGACGATGGGCGACATCTGTGACCGACCGAGCGTCATGCGCCGTTGAGTAAGGGTTAAGTTTATCTACTACACTCGGCAGTATCGTACATGCTGCCGCCCATGTTCGGCGGGCTGCAGGGCGCTGAGCAAGGTCAAGGTTGTACCTCAGAGGGAGAGAGTTGCTGAAGGGTGCCAACATAGGTTGGAGTGAAGTGGTAGGCGGGCTCCTTGCCGAGGTGAACCTGGTGCTGGAGCTGCATGTGCTGGCCGACGGGCTTGGAGAAGCTGAAGCGAGCGCCCTCAAAGGCAAAGTTGGCAGCCAGAAGACCTGTGTTGGACGGTCGACAGGTGGTGGGGTTGATGAGAATAAGAGAAGAGAGAGAGAGAGAGAGAGAGAGAGAGAGAGAAAGAAGGAGGGATGGTTGTGGTAGATCACCAAGCAAGGGTGTTGTTGAAAGCAGTGCGACGACATTCGACTGGTTCGAGCCGCGTTCACATACCGCGGTACTCGTTGTGCAAGAGGTCGTAAGATCCGGGCTCAGGACGGGCAGGGGGTGCAGGGGCGCTGCAACCCAGACAAAGCAAGCACGAGCGAAGGCAAGGCACAAGCACAGTCAGACGATCAAAGCCACGACCGTGACCAAGGCTTCCCTGCTCCCGGTTTCCTGCTCTCTCCCAGCAGCGGTGTGCCCGTCTCTGGGTCTCCCGGCCTCCAACACTGCTGTGCGTCATAGCCACTGTCTCCACGCTTCCAAGCGTTGACACCCAATGGCTGATAACAACGATACACATACACCCATGCACCAACGTCGTTCTTACCTAGCCTGAGCCTGCTGAGCGGGGGGAGGCGCTGCCATTTCGTCGGTTTGCTAAAAGATATGCCTCAAGAAATAATCCACCAGGCGGAAGAGAAAGTGCACAAAGTGTGACACTGAATACACACGCTCCCCTCGTGGTGGTGCTAATGGACCCTGTCGTTGGTCGCAGTACCAGTAGCAGTAGAAAGCAGCGAAAGCTGACTTTGTCTCTCTGTCTGTGCTTGACCAAGTGTCATTCATTCGTTCAGAAACTAGCGCGAAATCGTACTGCTTTCGAGGCTCAATATCTATATAGTTGCCGCTACATAAATGTTATCCAAAACCATTCAGATATGCCAGCCCTTGTCAGATAAAAGAAGGGAAGAAATCATCTGACATGCGGACGATTACCAAATTGCTGACATGCTGACAATTAGGCGGCGGCGGGGCGGGGGGTTGCGATGGAACCGTGCCGGTTGTCCGGATGATGAGCCCCGTGTCATGTCCGTCGTGGGGCACCTGGACCATGCATGATTGCTGGCCAAGGAAGCAGCGAACATGGGTTAGAACCAGGGGAAACAATGAGGAACAGCACGCCCCCCCCCCCCCCA